CTTTTCCCCATCGTACCAAGGTTTCTCATATATACCCTTCTCAAAGCCTGTTTCACATCCTTGTTTCTCAGGCTGTAGATAAATGGATTCAGCATGGGATTCACAAAAATACAAAACACTGAGATAATTTTCCCTTGTTCAACAGATTGCTCATTTGCTGGTCTCAGATACACATGCAGAACAGGGACTCGTAGAACATACAGACAGCTGTCAGGTGGGAGCCACAGGTGGAGAAGGCTTTGCACTGCCCTTCACTGGAATGGATCCTCATGATGGTGATGAAAATGAAAACATAGGGGATGAGGATTATGAGAAGGGAAACTGTGAGGTTAATCCCAGTGGACACAAACAGGGCAGTTTGCTTTACATAAGTGTTAGAACACGTCAACATTAAGAGGTCTGGGTCTGCACAGTAGAAATCGTTGATGATGTTGGATCCACAAAAGGACAAGTGAGAGGTCAGTATCACCTGCATTGTGGCCACCATGGACCCCCAGAGGTAGGGGAGGGTGACCAGGCAGATGCAGAGTGGCCTGGACATTCTGCTGTTGTAATGCAGGGGACTGCAGATGGCCACGTACCTGTCATAGGCCATGGCACCAGGCATGTAATACTCAGTAAGGAGCAGGGTCACAAAAACATAACATTGGGCCAGACATCCCGCATAGGAAATGGTCTTCTTCTCAGATAAGAAGTGCGCAAGCATCTGAGGAGAGACATTCGGAGAATAAAACATATCTACACACGCTAAGTGGGTGAGGAAAAAGCACATGGGGGTTTGCAGCTGGGAGTGAATCTGATTAATAAAATCACCCCAAGGTTCCTGACTAGGGTGATGAGGTAACTCAGGAGGAAGACCACACAGAAGATGGGCTGCAGGTCTTGGTAAGTTGTCAGTCCCAGCAGAACAAACTCGGTGGCGTCGGGGCCATTGTGCCGGGGAAATAGTTTCATTTTCATATTCTCTATTAAGAGAAGAATGCTTTTTCACATGTAAAAAAGAGAAATGAATTGTGTGCAATTCAAGAATAGATAAAAATGAATCAGCACCCTAAAAAACTGGTTTTGAAAAGAGAGGTTTCAATAACTTGTTACCTCCTTCAGAGATGGAGGAGTTTCAGCAGGTGCCTCCCGTGGTCGGTGGTGCTGCTTAAATGGGACAATATATTTGATAAACATACTTTGAAGTCCATGTACCACCTGTGCTGGCTGCTTTGCAACACCCACCTTACCTTTGAAGTCCATGTGCCACCTGTGCTGGTTGCTTTGCAACACCAACACGTCTGAATCTGAGTTGGCTCTTTCATGTCCCTATTTGGAATCAGAACCTTGGATGCTCAAACATAACTGCTGCCCGTGTCTGATCATGACATCAGTGCTCCATCAGGGAGGGAGTGGAGGGGGTAACTGACTTTCTGGAGATTGGTTCTATCATTGCCAGTGCAGGCACACCTGCTGTAACTGGAGTGGCATATACTCCTTGAAACCCTCGTTGTATATTTATTCAGATTCAGTTTCTTCCTAATTTCTTACTTATTCTCCAACAGCAATCAACCTCTTGGGTCCTTTGAATTTCTCTTCATCCTATCACCTTTGTTTCAAACCAACAATTGATAGTCTGCATTTTTCTTCCCTCAGTACTACTTATGATCTCACTAATCTCTTTGTGTCCCACAAAATCCCAATTTATTTTGTATTATATGTTTAATATTGATTGTATTGTATATTTAATATTCCTATTTCACTTAACCTCATACCTTTGACATCCCACCTTCCATCTAAACTAGCAGGAAATCTCTGCTCTACTTCAGCACATTGCCTACTGAATCTTAGAACAGCTAGTCAGCATCTCCTCCACTACCAGTCAGGTCTAAGATGAAGTTATCTCTTGCCAAAGCTACTGTTAATGATTTTTCTCCTTCCAGTTTGAAACTTTCTATCCACCAACACAAGCCACTGATCTTGTTATAAACATAAATAGCATCCTGTTAGTGACCTAAAGTGGTTCACTAACGTTCAATCACACTTGGGCTAAAATCTTCACTTCATACCAGAATCCACAAGGACTTATGTGATCTCTTCCATAACTCCAAACACTTCCACCACGTTCCCTTCAGTCCTTTTTTTCCTGCCACAGTGACTTCTTGGTGTTCCTTAAACATGCTGAGCACATTCCTGCCTCAGGGCCTGTGCACACACTGGTCCCTCTGCCTAAAGTGTTCTCCCCTCAGACCTGTAGGTGACTCATTCCATCACTTCATTTAGGTTTCTCTTCTAATGACACCTCCTCTGAAAGGCTAGCTTGACTGCTTGTCTAAGCGACTCCGTTTCATATAGCTTTCACCATGAACTGCGATCTATTTTTTCTCATACAATTGATCACTTCTGAAGTTATTATTTACTTACATAAATAAGTTTAGTTTCATGTTTTGTCAGCCCCTCCCACGTTTAAAATGTTAGAGACTTTCTTTGGGCCATATCCCCAGAATTTGGGCAAATGTCTGAATCGTCAATGAGCAGTATCCATCAGTTGAATGAATGGATGGAACGAGTAATGCACACTTTTCCACTCGCATCACCTGAGTTTTCCTGGTATGTAGATTTCTTACTCCCCTGATGTTACCAGTGGAGACTGAGTTACTACACAAGACAATGCAAATCTGCTTTGATTTTTATGGAGGAAACAATGCTGTCACTTTTCATTGTAACAGTGAATTGAAAAAACCTAACAGAAGCCTTTCCTGTTGAGGTAGGAAAGGTGTTCACATATTTTTTCCTTCTCATCTTTAGCCTTACATTCATCCAAATCCCTTTAAATTTTTCTCTTAAAAGTAAGTGTCTGAAATCATTGAAGGCATATGGAGTGGGAGTATATTTTCTTGTAGCAAATTTTAAGGTTATAGGCTTGGAGAAGGAAAACAAGGTAAAAGAGTAATATACCTTTAAAATTCCCCAAATTAGCTAAAGCTCCACATCTAAGCCTGCTCTTCATCTTAGCTGTGTTGGAAAATTCATCTATAACTAAGGTCTGGAGT